TCCATCTCATGCAACCCTTTTTTCAATATGCATTTATTTTGAATAAAATGATAGGTATTATTATATATGTAATATGTCATTGCAAAGTTATGTTAATGAAATAAATGGATAACAGTTTTATCTGTATAAAGGAAGCTAGCATGTTTAAATGAACTCATTTAGAAAACTGGACAATCTTAACTCTTGTGGTCTGCATAGCATTGTCTTAAATTTTACTGAAGCCTTAAATCTGGTAAAAAAAAATGAATGTGGAAGGGTTCCCTTTTTCCATTTTATTTTGATGCAGTTAATTTGGCACTGAAACACTTTTTAAAACATTGAGTCAATGCTGACATCTACTGGTTAGTAATTAGTATTTACCACTGGAATGATAATCATGAAAAGAATTTAAGATATTAAAATAAACTAAATGATCTTTAACATATATGTAGAATTTCAAACATATGCAAGTATATACATCTGAGAGAGACAGTTTAGACAGCAGTACAGGCACAGGCTGGCCTGACTTTCATGTTTCTTCATGACCAGCAGGTGGCAGCAATTATCTACCTTTTGAAAGGTATCAGCAGCATCTTTGCTATGTACATGGAATTTGTCTTGGTGAATTTGGTCTTGTATACAATTGAAAAGAATGCAGAGCAAGATCACCAAACCAACACGGTAATCACAAGGTAAGCATTAAAACTTAGGATTAATTATACATGTGTGTCTGTAAGTGTGTGGTGTAGTAAGGGGATCCCCTCTTTTATTCTGTCTAGTACCAGGATGGACCCCCATAGGACTCAGTATCTGGAAGCATAAAATGAAAATCCAAGATAGCACAGTATTTTCCAATTGTTTTGGGCCAACATGAAGGATTACCCCATACAGAATAATAATAATACCTGACATAAGTAAGTCACTCAGATGAGTGAATTATAATGCTGCCTCAGTAATGTGATAACATTATCAGATGATAAACCACCAAAATGAATTCTTCCAGATAGTCTCAATCTGTTAACCAAAAAACAGGCAATTATTTAACTCATCAGTGGCACTCATCACCTTGCTCGCACTATACACTTCAACCTATAAGAGCCACGGAAATCTTAAAAGCCAAAGCTGTTTCTACCAAACACTGCAGCTGTTTCAACATTTCCACAGACATCCCCTGACACCTGATCTGAATAGCCCGTGATCTATTCTTGTGAGATAATAAAAGATCAGATCAATGGAGGCTTGGGGGCTACTGCTGAGTGGAGGAAAAAAAGCCCCCGAACAGGTGCGCAGCATCTGCGCAGATCAGCGGCACAAAACATCTCAGGATCCTGAGAAGACTGGGAGACATAAACCACTCAGAGCATCTTATTATTGCTCGAGAGAGCTTTGCAGGTCACCCTACCCATCCTAATGGTGAATGATGACTCCAGCCACTGAAATCATTTCTGGTCCCCCACCTGGCTGAGATTAAATCAATGTTTCCCAAACTGGTCCTAGCGGACCCCCAGACAGTCGATGTTCTTGCTAGGAGCTGGGAGGGAGCAAAAATGTGGACTATCAGCTTGTTCCCAAGGACTGGGTTGAAAAACACTGGTTTAAGTAACTAAAATTATACTTTATTTGCCATTTTCACAAGTATGAGTACAGGTACACTGGAACACTCCTTTTCGCATATCCCATCTTGCTCTCCTTTGAGATATACACACGAAAATATATCTCCTTCGAGATATACACAAAACATTTATATTCACACAGCTAAGAATGAAGCCTGGGGTCTAAGCACAAGGTCAGGCCATTTATCTGGCACCGCCGGATCATTGCAGGGTTAAGGGCCCAACGGACATGTCATTATACTACGGAGGATGGGATTCGAACTGGTGACCTTCCGATCAATGACACAGAGAAGGTAATGCTAATTAACTGACAATCTGCGTTCCATGCAAACTGGCCAAAGTTAAGGGCCATTAAAAACAAACTTTAATGCACTGCTATAATCCGTACTCCCCCCATCTGTGGGTAAGAACATCTGAAGGTGTATTTTCATAACAGCCGTAGCATTTGCATAAATCTGTATTGCCCAGATCAGCAGTTTTAAATGGCAAACAACAGAAGCACAGGTTTGAGAAGATTAACACACCAGGCCTGACTGAGCTTTTTTTGGTGCTTATGACAGGAGGGGGGAGGCATCAATCTAAGAAGAGTCAGGTGACTATAATTGTACGTATTATTTGTGCCACCTGTCCCATTGTTTGTCTATGTTTTGCCAGTAATTCTGGATCAAGTATGGATCAGTTTCCCCTGTTGTAACACAAAGTTGGCACAAGGTGTTTCTGTGCTTATACTTCCCTCATAGCACAATTTCACAAACAATCCACAGAAGGAGTCTGCATTATATATAGCACTTTATATACACAACTAACACATGATGACTTCACTCCGCAAGAGATTAATACTTCAGATACTGTCAAAGAAAAACAGTCTAGAACACGACTGATAACTCTAGCCACACTTAAATCTAACCCCGATCTGCAACTGGATCTTGGACTTTGTCATTGATAGACTACAGGTGGTGAGGATGGGAGGCAGGGTCTCTGCTGAGCTCACAATCAGCACATGAACACCACAGGGTTGTTGCCTCAGCCCTAAACTATACACCCTGTACACTCACAACTGTGTGCCCACCCAGGACAACACTACCATCATCAAGTACGCAAATGATACAACCATCCTAAGGCCTCATCAAGGATGGGGACAAGTCAGATTACAGGGAGCTGGTCAACTACATCCTTGCCTATGGTGAAGAAAATGACTTTATCTTCAACATAGACAAGATCGAGGAATTAATTATGGACTTCAGGAGGAAACCCTTTGCAGCCTCTCATTATCAAAGGAACTGAGGTGGTGAGAGCTGACAGTTACAAGTTTCTTGGTCTTCATGTGACATGAAACCTGAGCTGGGCCAAAAACACTGCTGCTATAGCGAAAAGGCCCAGAAGCAGCTTTACTTCATCAGGCTGCTAAGGAAGGCAAGACTTAGCCATCACCTCCTCACCCAGGCTTACAGAGGACTTACAGAGAGTATCCTCACAAATGGCATCACTGTCTGCTTTTGGGAATACCACTCAGGCAGAGAGGAAGGCTCTCCAAAGAGTCAGGAATACTGCAGAGGGAATCATAGGAGCCAACCTCCCATCCAGGGTCACACTCTACACACAACGCTGCAGGAAAAAAAGCGCAGAGCATCCTCAGGTACCCAGACCATCCAGCACACACTCTGCTCAGGCATAAACGCTCAGCATATAACCTGAGACACTGCAGGCTGGACAGTATCATCACACACGAAGCACGGTTTTATAACAGCTTCTTTCCAGCCACAGTCAGATTGATGACTAAAGATATAACAGAAGGGGAAAATATGCCTACATAACCTCAGATGTTCAATATTTCTTAAAGCAATGTTGGTTTACAATGTCGGTGTTTTACTATAGCATTAAAATGCAATAATCTCAGATGTGCAAAACTTTTAAATGAAAATCTGTGTTTCATTCTGTTGTTTTTCTTTTTCTTTTTATTGTATCCTACAATGTTTTCTTAGTTGTCTTGTGCCCTTACTTATCCTGGCTTTTACTTATTTTTCTTCTTTACTTCTGACTCCGAGACCTTCGCACAAAATTGTGCCCGTACTGTCTGTGCATGTACATATGACAAATAAATCTCTTGAATCTTGAATCTAAAACATAGCAATTCCAAATTACAGCCAAGCTCTACCCAGTACAGAACAAATGTTTTTGTCCAAATGCACCTTATATAATAAATCTCTAATGGAAACAATTTAATGCAAACCAGACACACCAGGTACCAACATGAAATCGCAATACGATGGGCTAAAACATCCATTTGTCCATTTTAGGGCTAGTTAAACACCGGGGAGTGTTGGGGCCTCAGCCGGTTTTTCACACTCTCTAGCCCAACAGAATTATTTTCATTTTACTAAAATTACTCTTAAAAACACCGGCTTTATATAAATGTTGTTACTTGCTACTGTACTAGGTACACAAGGGTAATCATCACCAGTGGGAGTCCTTAGTCGGAAGTGAAGCCTGCTTTTGTTGGCCTTAATATTACATGGCGTATGTTGAATAACAAAAAGGTAACAACTACTGGCAACAAGCCTGTAGCTAATGTTCCAATTAGATTAGATCAGATTAGTGATGAAATAAGTAGTAAACACAATCAACCTGCTTACTTTCGTCATGATATTTCCACATACTTTCGAGACGCTAAGTTGCTTTCGATGGCATTTTCACGGAGTTTTGTGGCCCTCAGGAGACAGCTGGCACTCTCCTCACCTCCCACGCACCTTCAGTCTCGCGGGGACCTGTGGCACGCGGCTAGTTTGGCGCCCCCTGGCATGAACGCCGATTATACCCCATGACAGGCCGGAGGTATTGCAATTAATAATTGTTAATAACTGCATGTGAAAAAAGTTCAAATAAATAATTATCCCCACCCCCCTGCCACCACCACTCTTTTAAAATTCTCTAGCTATCTCAGAGTCATTTACAAAAAGATTTGATTTAATGTTATCCTTACAGGTCTACTAAGTAAGGCATTTCAACCGACTTGGAATTAGATGGTTCGTTGCTAAGCACATATACATGAAAATACATTTATTTTTCCTTTCTATCCCCAAACGTCGGTTAGTGAAAATAAATTGATTCTTGATGGTCGAGCAGGTTTGTCGATTGACATAAATTTACATGTGTATCAGTTGCTGTTGGCTGTTATTGTATAATGCTAGTTTAATCGTTAATATTAAACCCCAACAATTTCTTTATTCCTTATTTATTGGTATTTTACACCGTGTCTATATATGCTTCAGTAATGTTTTTCACGACAGACAACGCCGTCTCAGTAGCAGTTATAAAAAATACTAAAAAAGGTTGGGCAAGACCAGACGTGCGTAGTAAAACTGTCGGGGTATTTAAATATTTGAAATACATAGGCTTGTAATGGTTCATTTGCAGCATTTCAGAATTTTAAGTAACTGTGGATGTTGCAAAGGGAACAGATGGTTACGGTATTCGTTAAGCACCTAAACATTCTAGCAATGTAATGCCTCTAACCTAAAGCTCATGTGAAGTGCAGAAAGTAAGGCGCTCTAGCTCAGATCTTCCCTTTCAACATCATCTTCTGCACTATCATTTGCTGCACTGGACCCGAGTCTCTGCCTGCTCCTGGCAAAAAGTCAGAAGCAATTTCCGAGCAGGCTGCAAGTTCCAGGGAAGATGAACATCCAGGTCCGCTCCGGGGATACGCTTTCGCCTATTACCTCATTAGAAAAGAGGAAAGTGGAGCAGGTCCTGCTCATAGATCCTAATGAATTCAGGTATGACGAGCCGTCCACCGCCCCGACTCCCGACTCCCATGGCTGGCCACAGGCAACCACCGGCGACGGGGACAGAGAGACCTGGAGCAAGAAAATAGACTTTCTGCTGTCTGTTATCGGCTTCGCGGTGGACTTAGCTAACGTATGGAGGTTTCCATATTTATGTTACAAAAATGGGGGAGGTATGTGAACGAACTACTAATGTTGTTTTATATATTAGCAAGATTTAATTTAAATAACATCGATTTTCACTAAAATTGTTCGGGTTCTGCAAGGCTGAGTTATACAAAAATATTTTCCCACAAAAAATATTAACTGAATTTGACATACGTACAATGTTGGGATTTTAATTATTCAGTTTAAGTTATTTTAACATATTTAAATTTTGAATTGATTAATGAGTGATTGAAGTCAAATAATGAATGATCTTTTTTAAAAAATCGTACGTGTCGATTTAATTGCTGTTAAATTGAGTTAAAAGTAAATACAGTGTATGAAAATACAGGTTTTAAATTGAGAAGATCGGTCCAATTGCTTATTCTGGACCACACAGAGGTATTATAGGAAATTTAGAGATGCCAGGTAGCATAATTACAAGCCTTTGGAATAAGGGGCAAAACGCCAGAGGAAGAACCTGCCAATACCATCCATACCTAGAACAGAAGCGGGATTCTAACCCATTATCTTGGATTTGTAAAGCAACAGGTTTATCCTCTTAGCCACTGTCAACCCTAATATTTAAGGCGAGATTTGTTGCCAGAAAATATCTAAAGTCATGAGGTTTTATAGCTTATTTGCTGTGTTAATGTTACTATATTAAAATGATTTGAATTAAACCCTGCTATACTAGCTAGCTTCCAGCCTGAGTTAACCACATTCTGACCACTCGTGGCTTGTTTTTCTTTTACTGTAACAGGTGCCTTTTTGATTCCATACGTCATTTTTTTATTCATCGCTGGGATACCCCTGTTTTACATGGAGCTTGCCATAGGCCAATACAATAGAGAGGGCGCTGCCACAGTCTGGAAGATTTGCCCCATGTTCAAAGGTAAAGAATTCAATAGCCAGTTCTCTTTCCCTTACTCCTAGTTATAGAACAACAACTGTCATACTGCTACCAGTATTTGTTGGTCAGTTCACTAAGATCAGCCAGGTATATGAAATTAAATCAGTAAGACAGCATGTTAAGCTTCTTATATGATGTTATTCATCTTTCTAAAGGTGTGGGCTACACAGTGATCGCTATAGCACTGTATGTCGGCTTCTACTACAACGTCATTATAGCCTGGTCCCTTTACTACCTGTTCTCCTCGCTCACCAATGAGCTGCCCTGGCTCAGGTGTGGGAATAGCTGGAACAGTCCCAGGTGCACCGACCCTCAGCTTACCAACGGCTCCCTCCTGTGGAATGGGACATCCTACTTCAAGATAACGCCAGCTGCAGAGTTCTATGAGTGAGTCCCACAGGAATCAGCCATCATTCTTGTCCCCAGTGTAGTGGATCAAGGGTGAACTAGACAGCAAGAGATAATTCCTGTAGAGGCACCTTGTTTGCTGAGGTTGATGTGGACGTGAGCTGCATGCCTTCACGGGCCAAATAATCACGGGGAGTGGGGAGAGGATGAATAAGGGAAGGTTCCATAGGACCATACAACAGTGTAATTTACCAGGATCAACAATGAAAGGTGCACTGTCTCAGAATTACAGCTCACTGCGGAGGTACTGTCTCAGAATTACAGCTCAGTGCGGAAGCGCAGTCTCAGAATTACAGTTTAGTGCAGTGGCACTCTCAGAATTACAGTTTAGTGCAGTGGCACTCTTAGAATTACTGCTTGGTCCAGTAGTACTGTCTCTGAATTACTGCTCGGTGCAGTGACACTGTCTCTGAATTGTATTTCGGTGCAGTGACCCTGTCTCTGAAGTACAACTGGGTGCAGTGACAATTTCTCTGAATTACTGCTCTGTGAATTGACACTGTCTCAGAATTACAGCTCAGAGTGGTGGCACTGACACTGTCTCTGAAGTATATTATGGAGCTGTGGCACTTTCCCAGAGGTTCAGTAGTATATTTAGGTTATTTGGGCAACTTTCACCTGCTCATTATCCTACAGTCCTTACAAAAGTCATTGCACAATCATTTGCCAATTGGTAGGCGTATAAAGAAAACTTTCGATCCATTGGCTGAAGTTAACCAGAAAACCTCCATCTGCCCATGGAAGAAATTACACTATGGAAGAATTTTTCCACTATGTACAGGGTAATTGGTTCTGCACTCCAATGGAAGTCAAAGGAGGAAGTGAAAAGTCAAAGACCACGTCTGGTGTTATGATCTGTCTGGTGTGCAAAGCAACTGGAGGCAACAGACTGTACAAAGAGCATGTCAGGGGCAGCGTGACCATACAGGCGTCTGAATGTTAAATATCCATTATCTCCGGAATGTCTTCTGTTCCTTCTCTTATTAACTGTCAGTGTTAATCCTTTATCGGAACTAGCTAATTTCAGTTTATATAATTCAGTGGCAGAAGAGACACATGAACCACCTTTAACAGACAGACCCTTTATAAAACCCATTAAAAGGAATTCTGTATTCTGCTCATTTCAGCATTGTATTCTACATTCCTTAATTTTAGCAAGGGCTAGTCTCAGGTTTCCTTGATCAAATAGTGGTCCAGACACCCAGTGTTGTGCAGCAGTGATGATTTGGAACTTCTGCTTGTGTGGCCCAGAACTGTCCTAATTGACAACATCCTGGGTTGTAATTCGGACAGGGGGCCCAGATTTACCAGGTAGGGGTCCTTAATGCATGATGTGGGTCCTATAGGTACCTTATTACATTCTGTTATTATTAGCATGTACCTACATGCTTAGGCTTGGAATTGAGCAAGCTATGTTATTGGCATTTCGCATATAGGAAAGTAACCACAAAAAGCAGCGCTCTTGTAAGTCAGCGAAGGACTTCAGGCTTATCAAGAGCAGGACAGTAATTACCCATGACTGGAGATCCCCAGCGGTCTCTGAGGTAGGTTCTGCTAATTATGTTTATTCAGAGGCTGGCGCATGGTGCTGGTCCTTATCAGGAGGGGACAAGTAGCTCGGTATGCCGGATCTTTCCATCAGACCCTTCTGCCATTGAGTAACATGTGGCAGAACACTGTGTGCCGGGGGTCAAGGGAGGAGACGAGGCCCCTGGGACAGAGGTCAGAATTTAGCTCAGCGCAGAAGCCGTGAGCAGAGGGTGCCCAGACAAGCATCAACCCCCAAAGCAGAGTAGCCATGACCTGGTTTACAAAGTCATAAGGGAGGAGGACACATAGCAGGAAGCAGTGCTATTATAATTTAGATATTTTTTTAATTTTGTTTTTATTTTTGTTATTTTCATTTGAAATACAATTTAGTTTGACTTTTCTGAGTGGTTTTTATTAGATTTACTTAAAAAATATTTGTAATTAGTTTTTAAGATTTATATTGTAGATTCAGTTTGTTTTATTTAGTTATTTTTCTAGGTACAGAATGAAAGTTATAGGGTTATTTATGTGTCTGATCCTACATGAATACACAGTGCGCATTATGTCCTAAAAATGGGCAAAACATGTTTGAGGTATTATTAATGGTAATTAAAGATAAGCAGATAATTTCTTTAGTGAAATTAAATTACTGTTATAAAATAGTAATGGAACATATTTAACATTTGTTCTTATTGTAATTCTTTTAGCAGTATTTATAGTGTTTGTTTAGTTGTAGTTATTTTATTTTCATATTTTATTTCAGTATATGATTGTTTTTGTTGTAGATTTACTTTTCGTTAATGCTAATAACTGTTACAAGACAACTGCTTGGGGCTTGTTCCTTTTACTTGAGGTTTTGTTAACACTAATTTCAGATACATCTTATCAAATACATTTGTCAGTTATTTGTCAATCATAAATTTGCTTTCCTGTTGGTCAGATCAGGCAGGTGGTCAAACTTAGGTGGCAAGAGGAGTTAAATCTGCATTCAATTAGCCTTCTTCATATGACCAGCTATATAAAAATAATTTGCTATATGGAAAACAATGGAAACATTACAGAATGCAAAATCCAAGTCCCCTCCTTTGTTTCTATCTGACAGCTGTACAATCTGTTTCTTCCTTATTTCTTGGTATTATGTTGTACTGATTATAACCTTGTTGCTTTTGGTATCGTTGTTGTTGTTGTTGTTGTTGTTGTTGTTGTTGTGGTGGTGGTGGTTATCAGCTGGGACTGAAATACGGAATTTGGGTAGAGTTAGTCGCAGCCTAGTTTGTGTCTCGTTGACAGGATACGGCACACAAACACACTTTGAAGTGATAACAGACTCCAGAGCACATAGCTCTCTATCTCGAATAACATTCCCATCCTCAGTCTTTTTCTACAGACCTCAGGTTGTTGAATTCACTTAAGAATTTGATAAGGACCTGATAAAATATCATGACTTGCCTTAGCATTTTCAAATTCCTCTGGGTTCTAAAATGCAGCAAAATGTACTTTGGCCAATCTAGTGGCTGGGAAAGGAAACATGGCGTACAGGTACAGTAACATCACAGTAATCATTTTGTTAATATCTAGTACGCGTTTCTGGCTGGCCTTGGAATTTTGCAAAAAGAGCAGAAAGAAATAACCTAGAGTATGGTCCTGTGATTTTTTTTTTTATAATCTGCATTATTTTGATGCCTGGAACTATATTGAGTAGTAACCACATCTTAGAAACAAATTAGCCAAGACTTTTTCTGTTCTTGTTTATTTACTTCCGGCTCTATCCTGATTAAATATTAAAAACAAATCAGCTTGGCACACAGTTCCAACGGAGGTGAAAACTCGCCTTCACTATCATAAAATCAACAGGAAAATGCGTGTCTCTCAGCCAAACATTAAGACAACAGGCAGAGATACCATCTTTTCCAGGAAAAGATATGCCTAGTGCCTGTCTGCGTGTCTTCTCTTTTAGAAAATCTGGCACGTGAATCTCTCACACCATTCTTTATCTGAAATTGCAGTACAGAGTGATTTTCACTCAGGCAGCTGTAAATGTGCATGTTTTTGTATCTGTACAAAAGGAAGGTGTCCCCATCTCTCTCATCAATAAATGCTTGTGATTGATTCCACACTGGTTTGTTCCTACTCTCCCATTTCACCATGTTTAATCATAATATCAGCATATCAAGTTACAGCTACAGTGGAGAAATTCAATATCCAAATGCTCTCACACTCTGTTTCAAAAAATATTGACTGTGATGGACTGTTGCCCTGTCCTGGGTTATTCCCTGCTTTGCACCTGTTGTTTTTGGGATAGGCTCTGAACCCCCACAACCCTGTATAGGACAAGCAGTATAGAAGATGGATGAATGAATGGAATGAATGAATGAAAAATATTGTAAAGCTGCCAGCATATAGTTGAAGCAGGCCTGAAAACAGTTCTGCTCTTCTAACTTGCCTACCTGGATGATTTTGACATAATTTATGGAATAAAATTAAAATTCACTTGTGGTTACATGCTTTTTCGTCTGCAGGCGTGGAGTCCTGCATGTCCATGAGAGCAAGGGGATCCAGGATCTGGGCCTGCCTCGTTGGCAGCTCACCATTTGCCTGGCACTGGTGGTCTTCGTCGTCTGCTTCAGCCTATGGAAAGGTGTCAGGTCATCTGGAAAGGTACCCCATAGCAAGCACACAGACACGGGCCCAGGGTAATCCTACATCTGCATACTCACATCGCCATGGTTTCAGAGCTACCGTTCCCATCTTTCTACCAGATCGCCATGAATCTATGACTTCCAAAAGGGACCAAATACTCTCCATGAACAAGTACTGACAAGTACTGGACATCTGAGCACTGGTTGAATTTATAATACGATGATTTGGAGTCTAGTATGAACACAGATATCAATCTAAATGCTGAGTCCACATGAATAATTGGATTACAACCAGAGAATTTAATTTACACTAGAAAAGAATGTTTCTCGATTTGGAGGGTACAACAATAAGAAATGAGCACCTCAAAATGGTTATCATACAATATTAGTTACACAAACATCTTTTTAAAACTTATTACTAAGAATTCAATAATTAAAAAAATTAAATAAGTACTACATGAAGATTCAATAAAATTTCTTGGTATTTGTTATGGGTGGATAATGGGACGCCATGCTGCCGGCTCAGGGACAGTAGCTCAGCTGCGCCCTCTGTCTGTCTGTCTGTTCATGTGCAGGTGGTTTATGTCACAGCCACCTTACCCTACGCCATGCTGTTTGTTCTCCTTATCCGGGGCGTCACTCTACCTGGGGCGATGGATGGCATCAGGGCCTACCTGCACATTGATTTCAAAACGCTCAGTAAGCCATCGGTGAGACACTGCTTTCTACTGAATGGATGTTGGCCCAGCTTCCCTTAGCATACAGCTGTGATATTCACATGTGTCTCAGCTGCTGTGTGATTACTAGCGCAGGGGTCTTCGTTCATTAAGGTCACTTCATGGACTTTTCAAGGGAACTGAATAGACATTCATTGTTTTGACCTGATGTACCAGATGTAACCAATGATGTATTTTTGTTTAGGTCTGGATCGATGCAGCCACTCAGATATTCTACTCGCTGGGAGCAGGATTTGGCGTCTTGATTGCATTTGCTAGCTATAATAAGTTTGATAACAACTGCTACAGGTGAGAGCAGAAATGGATTTGGTTAACGAGCATCTGGACTAGCGGGAAGAGACGTTCATCTTCTTTGTTTTCCATTACTGTCTCTGGTAGTTAAATTATACTCTTCAAAACGTCACAGTGGGAAGCAGACCAGTGGTGTTCAGGCTGTACTGTTTATTGCCAAACATTACTTGGGGAATCTGGGGAGACGTGAAGCTGATTAATATGCTGCTTTTTAGTCTCTGTAATGGCCTGGAGCCCTCAGATGTAATTTAGCGTGAAAGCTCACAGTGGTTCATGTGAGATTAACCTAACGTGTCTCAGGTAAGACCTCTCAATGCTCATTATCAGAAAATACCTTCTGTGTGCAGGCTACAGAGGGGAAACTACATCAAACCACTGTTTTTCCACTGTCAGCTGTTTACAGTCATACCCACTGCACTGCTCTAGTCAAAAGTTGGACTATTTGTACAGCATATCTCTCTATTTATTCATTTTTGCTTTTTGTATGTTGATGTCTTACACAGCTCTGGAAAAAAATAACAGATTACAGCACTATTTTCTGTTTCACCTATTTCTCAGTTTATGGGTGTGTGACTGTATATATATATACAGTATAGTGCTCTTCTGCACTGTGTTATTCTGTTCTGCTGTCTTAGAAACTTTGGGGACAACTTGCCATGGCGCCGTCTGCCCGCAGAACCAGGATTAACCAGGATTTTAAATGTAGATTTTTAAAAAAGTATATATGGAGTGATCTCAATTTTTTCCAGAGCTGTATGTAAAAGCTGTTTTTTAAAGTCTCGGACAAATGCTATTTTGTTTCAAAATGAAATGAAGTGGAACTGCATGTTTCCAGTAAAGACTGACTTGAGTTGACTTTAGAACATCCTGAGTTCGTGACCAGACCCTGCTTCCTGTAGGGACGCTCTGCTGACCAGCACAATCAACTGCATCACCAGCTTCCTCTCAGGATTCGTCACGTTCTCTGTGCTGGGATACATGGCCTTCCGGAATGGCGTGAAGATTGACAATGTGGCTACTGAGGGTGTGTGATTCTGTACCCAACAATAGATGGCCCTTTAAGTAGTTCCACCATATCACCATAAAATGGAATATTCTATATATATCATATAGTGTTTCTTTGCCCCCGCCTCATATCATCATGTCCTCTCTTATTGCTTCATCTTCGTTTCTCCTCCACTCAGTTTCTCATTTAAGGCTGTTGACATGTGATATATTTTCTTTTCCATAGGGCCAGGGCTGGTGTTTATCATCTATCCAGAAGCCATCTCCACTCTTCCAGGATCCACATTTTGGGCCATAGTCTTCTTCATTATGCTCATAACACTTGGCATCGACAGCTCAGTAAGGATCTGAAGTATTGCGTTGACCAGCACTGACCGTATGTACAGCCTCGGACTGCTGGCCAACCTGATGGTGTTTGCTCTCTTTGAAGATGGCCGGCATGGAAGCTGTCATTACTGGCCTTTGTGACGACTTCAAGCTCCTCAAAAGGAACAGGAAGATATTCACAGTTGTCGTCGCATCTGTGACTTTCCTAGTAGCCTTGTTCTGCGTCACGAATGTAAGTTTGCTGTGGGTTTCTTTGTAGTGGGACTGTTTGCTTTCATGCCTGCTGAGAGCTTAGAGATTAAAAAAAATAACATGATCACGTCATCCCTATATCAGCTAGCCAGAGACTACCAGATGAAAGCCAGCCAAAATCCCTTTTCACAAATTTACAGCAGTGGTTTGTCTTTTAAATACACCTTGTGGCCATAGATCCGGGTATATTGAATCAGTACCTTTTCACACAGCCATCATAAAACTATTACAGAACACAATGTACTGAATGATAGAGGAGTCATGTGACAGGTCAGGGTAGCTCCTATGACCAGGCATTTATACTACACACACCATGGAAAATCTTTTAAAACACTGTTGCTTGAAGTAACCGGAGCTGAACAGCAACTGAAGCTAATAAAAATAATGATGATCTCTGTTTTTTGAGTCATTGGAGTTCTTCTGTATGTAACAGTTTCCTTAGCAATTGTGTAGGTAAATGACAGAGGTGGAGATTTCAGGTCCAAAGAGTACAAATGCAGACCAAGGTTTTGTTTCAACCAACCAGTTTAGCATAAAGAGTCACAGTCACAGAGTACTTAACTGGTTGGTTGAAACAAAATCTTGGTCTGGATTTGTTCTCTCTGGACCTGAAATCTTCAGCTCTGGTGAATGATGCATGTAATGATAATCCATGTGTCTGCTCTTTCATTTCCTGCGGACCTCTCACAGGGCCACCTGGAGCCTATTCCAGGCAGGGGTACACTCTGAATGGGATGCCTGTAAATGAAAATCCTTAGGTGATGATTTAGTGACCCATACTGATGGCTGTGTGTTCTGCTGCTTCATTACCTTGTTGTCCCTGTTGGACCTGCAGGGTGGCATTTACATCTTGACTCTGCTGGACACCTATGCTGCGGGAACGTCCATTCTATTCGGGGTGCTGATCGAGGCTATTGGCGTGTCCTGGTTCTATGGTGAGATGTCCCATCTCTCACCTTTTTCATCATCCCTAACACTGTTTAGCAGTACCTACATACAGGCAGTCCCCAACACTCGACTCGTACTTATGAACGGACTGCCATAAAGCATATTACATTAAAAATTTGAGTTGAATACAATTTTTTGTAATAACGAATGCACTCACTATTTTGTGAAAACATTGTGCGGCTTCAGCAATTCGCCGGCTCATTCGTCACCTGGGGACTGCCTGGGTATCATTACGTCTAGTTCCTTAAGTGTCGCTATTTTCTAACGTGGTAGTAATTCAGTTTTGTTTCATTTTTGCCAAAAGTGTTTTGTTAGCTAGACTCCCTGCCCAGCTACTCATCCCCATCCCACTATAAGCAGTGCCTCAGGAGTGGAATGGAGCTCAGTATTCTTTTCTTCCCCAGGAGTAGACAGATTCAGCGAGGATATCGAACAGATGATGGGCTTCAAACCTGGCCTGTACTGGAGACTGTGCTGGAAGTTTTTAAGTCCAGCCTTCCTGCTGGTGAGTCCATTTGCAAGGAGAAGCTGTTTAATAAATATTATTTCACCGTTAATATTCAGTAAAGTGCAGGTTACTACAGAGTCCGGGTGTAAACTCATCGGATCCCTATATGGTCTTAAAATGGAAGAAAACGGTGTTTTACATGATTTTGTTGCATGAATATATCAAGTCTTTATAAACTTACATGTACAGACACTCCTCTACTTATGAACGAGATACATTCCGAACAGCTGTTCTTAACTTCAAATGTTCGTAAGTCGTTATTCAACATAATTTTAAGGGTATACGCAAGTACTAGGATGCTGGGAGTACGCACGCTACGCTGCTGCATGGTGGGAGTAGTGGCCAGAAGTTGTACTAGGCGGAATTGGTGCACAGAAAAAAAAATTTGATGTTGCGGACAGGAAACAGGAGCCCAATGAACACAATTACAGTCCTCTTCGTTCGTATGTCTGAAAGTGCGTAAGTTGAAAATTCGTGTCTGTATATATTTATAATAGCTATTTAGCAGCGTTTACTTTATAGAAGTAATATGTTTATCCAGCCTAAGATTCACGACAGAAAATGGGGGCGGTGTGAGGCTCAGTGGGTTTGGCCTCTGTAAGCATGATTAGAAGGCTGTGTATCTGAATACTGTGATCCCGTGGCCTGCAGTGTGATGCCCTCAAACCATAATTGCTCCAGATAATTGATGTGACCCCCCCCCCCAAAAAAAAAAGAAAAAAAAAACTTAAAAACTTGGTCTCATCTCTGTTTGTCTTATAGAGCTAGATGAAAAGACAATTTCCCCATGATTATCATTAGAAGACTTTTTTTTTTATTATTATTTTTTTAAAGCAAAGTTGATCATCATATTCCATTATCCCATTGTAATTTTTTAATACATGCATTTTAATCTTTGGGAGAAAATACAGTTACTGTAGTATACTAAATACAACTATTGAGAAATGTACTGAAAAACAATCAAATTCAGAGTCTTTAGCAATGTGATGGTAGTGTATTAAGACGTCCTGGGAAGTGGTCATGCTAGTTTTCAGTCCGTAGCTTTCTTGGGATAGCAGTCCCTTACAAATTCTCACAGCTGTGAATAGAGTTGTCACATGTGCAAAGTTTGACATTTGTCAATTCTTACCAATCAAATCCAGCAAACACTGATAAGATGATCAGTTTAAGGTTTGGACTACATACACAAGCTTCAGATACAGGTCAGATCAGAATTTGTTGATTTTTGCATCTGAGCTCGAAGCTTGAGCATTAAGAGTTTATACAGCAGTACAGTTGGATGGGCAACACACAGACAGCTAACGAAAGCAGCTCAGAGCCACTGATTGTCAAGAGTCTATTTGGAGCCTGTCATGTTATTTTAGGTTTTACATTCACTGTCATATCTAAGGAATATTTAAATTGTGAATCTTTCTACAATCTATTTTTAGTTTGCCAACAAATCGATGCAGTCAAAGCTGTTGAAATCAAAATCCAGTTCTGTAATGTAAAATTTTTATCATTACAGAAATAAGTGAATTCATGACCTTGCCTAAGCATGGATCTAAAGGAGTCACACCAATTTTTTTTCTTTCAGTTCGTTGTGGTTGCCAGTGTCGCAACCTCCACCAGCTTGCAGTATGATAACTACGTCTTTCCTCAGTGGTCCAATTTGATTGGCTGGGGAATAGCAGCGTCATCGATGATTTGTGTGCCAGTCTATGCCATTTACAAGTTCCTCAGTGTGCCAGGAACCTTCAAAGAGGTTAGTCTGGGGAATGTCACTTTACTTTGCATGTTGAAACATGTTGCAGTAAAATCCACAGTGAGCCTTGTTATAAATTATTTTCCATTAGGATATGGTGAAAGAAATATCTGAAATAAGAAATGGTAGTTTGTTGATTTCTAAAAATACAGAAAAAGGCCATACCATGCCAGTTTCTTTAAACTGGAATCAGCTTAGAGGGATTGTCTTTGATTCTGTGTTGTGTTATATGAATCGAAAGTGTCCTTGAGAATTTCCTATGCTGCAAAGATTACAAGAGTTGTCTTCCTGTCACGCTTCAGAGGGTAGGTTATTGTATCACTCCCAAAAAAGACCATCATCGTGTGGCCAACGGTACTGTCAGGCAGTTCAAGGTGAGTGTAGGTACTGCTGCGATGATATCCAGTTTAAATCACCATCCATAACTTTGAAAGTTAACTACACCGTGAGTTCTTGTCCACCTATTTCAGTTAAAGCACTGGTTGGCCATCTGACATCAGCTAGGTCCTGCTCTTTGGGATGCCGGAGGCCGTGGTCCTTCCTGAAGACCTTCACGGTGAAGCTACAGTGTCTGCTTGTTTTATGAAAGATATCACATATCCACACTTCCATTTATATTGAATGGTAATTCCTGGCTGCGTTCTTTGAGAACGTTTTGTGTTTTGCTTTTCACAATGTGACAATGTTGATTATACCTCTTTTACGACACTTTGAAGAATATATAGGAAGCAAATATGAAGTTAGCACTGGAGCAAAATAGAGATTTATAACTGTTTGGCATTGCTTTTATATAAAATACATACACTTTTAATAAATGTATAAAGAACCGGTTCATTATCCATTTTATTTTGGTCAGGGGGGCCTGGAGCTAGTCAAAGGGTACATAAATTAGCCCAAAGTACATGGTGTCAGAAGGTGGGGGGAAACCCACACAACAGGGAACACGTGTAAACTCCACTGACATAGATGGGGGATTTGAAGTCTCTCTGCTGGAGGGGGAGAGAACAGTAACTTACTTTCCCCAGTAAGTATAGACTCTCCTTTTCACTCTTATCTCGTATATAATACAAATTTGTTAAAGTGTTCTCTTCTTCCTTATTAATAGTTCTGTGTTAAGCTTGCATAGTAAAGAGATGTTTCTTTTATCGAATCCAAAGTGCCGTGAGACTTTTCAATCTGGTTTAACACGATTTAGATTTAAACCAGGAGTCATCCTGTTTTTGTGCGATGAGGTATGGTAGGAAAGCAACATAACGATCAAGTGAGAGGGTCATATTCCTTCATTCGGTGACATATCACAGTTCCTAAACCTCATGTCAATAATAGAAACCATTTCAAAATTGTTATTTTAAGCTACGGCAAATTTATCAATGTTACTGATATATGAGCTCTATGTGAAACATTAGAAAAGTTTTACACAACCGTGCTACAATAATACAGTGTCCCTTTACCAAATTTCCCCCCAGGATTAAAGAAGGTATTCTGATTGCAATTGTGATTCTTTATACACATGCCAGTGACCATGGACAGCTTTATGATGTCATGCTCTACATGCAGCCTTTAACAATACTATATCTGAATGTTAACAGAAATATATATACTGACAGCTTATAAAAGTTAACATCTATTAAAGTAGAATTTATTGACGTTTGTAATGTGTTATTTCACTTTATCAGGAACAATTTATAAAATGTCATTTTTACACTTATCTTGTGTACAGAATTACGTTAAAATAAAGTTTTACATTTTACTTTGCGCATAATAATTGACTGAGTTTTTACTCTTTGCCTCACCATTTTCTGCGGTAAGCCAACCCAGAGATAATTCCGGAAATATCTAAGAAAAGACAGTGAATGGCATGTCTGTTAACCATGTAAAGAAAACACCAGCTGGGCTGAAATTTTATTTACCAGCCAAATGCAGATTCTGTACTTCAGGAAGTGGAAAAACTTTGTTGGCCCAGTTGCGTGTATAATGTTCATCTTTCTGTATATAAGCAGACAGATTAAATCTGTCCTATGTCTGGTAAACAGGATCATTAAACAGACATGATTACAAAAGAGGGGATCACTTCACAAATAAATGAGTCATTTTTGACTCTGTGCCTGTCATCAGAAAGTCGCCAGTTCAAATCCTGAGGCTGGTTAAGTGACTTTTCTGTTTGGCATCTGAGTGAGTTAAAAATGACTGAATCCCTGGTTTATCAGACTTTGTTATACTGACTGATTTTGAACAAAGTACCTATGCAGTTTGTTGACATGGGGAAAATCATATGAGTCAACCAAGCTCAAATACCAAAGAAACATTTGCCACAATTTTTTCATTATCATTTCATCGAGTTAATATTCTCATGCTGAGGAATCTGGTGATGGATTCAGTGTATGCCAAGAACAACAGCTATTGTTTTGAGCTGGTCTTCATCCTCATAACACAGTGGTTAATTCCTGCAATACCAAAGAAAATAATTCTTGGTATAGGGTTTCACTGTTTCTCTATTCTGAGAGCTGAAAATTCCCTTCTCTCAGATATATGCACATTTGGCCATCTCGGTACTTGAGAATCCTTTGGATAGAAAGCATTGTGCACAATTCTCAGCAGGAGAGACTGAAGTTAAACAGAATTTATAGATTGCGATTGTCCTGTGTCTTCATATACGTTCTACACTCACCTAAAGGATTATTAGGAACACCATACTAATACGGTGTTTGACCCCCTTTCGCCTTCAGAACTGCCTTAATTCTACGTGGCAT